CCTCACTGTCTACGCCCGCCCGGCTGACCCCGCACACCTCCTCACCCCGCTCCCACCTTCAGCCTGTTCCTCACTGTCTACGCCCGCCCGGCTGACCCCGCACACCTCCTCACCCCGCTCCCACCTTCAGCCTGTTCCTCACTGTCTACGCCCGCCCGGCTGACCCCGCACACCTCCTCACCCCGCTCCCACCTTCAGCCTGTTCCTCACTGTCTACGCCCGCCCGGCTGACCCCGCACACCTCCTCACCCCGCTCCCACCTTCAGCCTGTTCCTCACTGTCTACGCCCGCCCGGCTGACCCCGCACACCTCCTCACCCCGCTCCCACCTTCAGCCTGTTCCTCACTTTCTCTCTGCTTCTGACGCCACCCAAACTCCCGAACTCCTCTGCAGCTTTCACTCTCGTTTTCCCGCTGTCTCTCAGTAGATAAGGTAGCCAGGACAGAAAGGAAGGATAGAGGCAGGCAGGAAGGAGGAAATGAGGGAGGGGGACGCAGGGAAGTAGGAAAGGCAGGAGACCAGCAGTTAGCATAATGGCTATGTCGCTGGACTCCCATGTAGTCGACTGCGGTTCTAGTCCTGGACCCGGTGGCTTTAACTCACACGGGGCGCATGTGCGTTTGTGCCCAAGATCCCGAGAGGAGAATGGAGGAGAAGGGATTGCGGCATGGCCATCCCCCCTGGGGGGTGATTTCTCGCTTTCTGTCTCTCTGTCTCTCTCTGGCGAGTGCACGTGCCCTATAGGAAAACCTCTCCAAAAAAAAAGATATCAGTAACAAATAGGAAACAATAAACACACAGACATGTGTGCACATGTGTGCTGCACACATAAAGGTGCACGTGTGTGCGCGCACAGGAAGGCGGGGTTTGCCTAGCTGCTCTACGTACAGTCCTGGAGGGGCGCCTGGCCCCGGGGACACTCAGGAATTATTCGGAGTGTGGCGACCGTCTAAGACGTGGTGCCCTGGAGCACCCCTCTTCCATCTCGGGGTGGAGATGGAAGACATGATTAACCCCTCACAGACCTTCCTGACTTCCGGCAGGTCGGCCATGCGGAGGCTGGGGGCGGAAGCATTCGAGGAGGTGTACCGCTACCTCAGGAGAGCGAGGCAGCGGGGTGCCAGCGAGCCCGAGGTCCTGCAGTCTCTCGGGAGGCTGGTGCCGCGGGTCGGCGACTGTTTCGAAGTGGACCAGCTCTTGTACTTCGAGGAGCAGCTGCTGAACACCGCGGGCAGGGGCCGCCGCAGACCCAGCAGCGAGCCGCTGTCGGCCAAGGCGGGGGCTCAGCGCGCAGTGGTGGCCCCCGGCAGCCCCAGCGGGGAGCCGCTGTCGGCCAAGGCGGGGGCTCAGCGCGCAGTGGTGGGGCAACGGGACCCACGTGGGAGCACGCGGGGCGCACGTGTGCCCACGGCCAGGCCGCCGGGCGGGGAGTGGACACCACGTGAGACCCTGCTGGGAGACTCTCATAAAAATCAACAATCAAACTTCTGAAAACTCAGCGCAAGTTCACGTGCACAGGTACCGTGACACTCCATTACACACGTCACCTGGGGAGTGAGTACCGCCTGGAGTGACCGTCTATACCTCCCGTTCTTTGTCAGAGTAATGGCCGCTTTAGAGGGTGTGGCCGCCTCAAGGGCACGGCCACCCAGGGACATGCCCACCCAGAAGGCACGGCTGCTTAGGGGGACGGCTGCCCACACTCTCGGGATCGTGGGGCCTTACCATGTTTGATTGCACGACACCCTAAAATCAGGTTGGGCGTCCTGAGGCGCGTGTCCCTCGCGGGTGCCCTCGGGACTTCCGGCTGCACTGAGCCACCCCATCAGAGGCTCAGGGGACCCCTGTGCTCTGCCATTCCCGGGTGGGGGCTTGGGCAGCCTATGCAGGCCCCGGGTGCCAGCCTCCAGCACCCTCAGTGGCCGCCCTGTAGTTGACACTCCTGTCTCGGGCGCGTTTTGGGCCCTGCTTTGCCCATTCTTGACTAACAGGCAACACGTATTTATCACACACTCACAGGACCTGGTCTAAAACCCCAGAAGCAGCCCCAGCCCCTGGTGCAGAGGTCAAGAGGCTGGGTGCCCCGTGGCCAGCCGCCTGGCCCTGCTCCAGACCTGGGAGCTTGAGAAACAAGCCGGGCGTGTGTGTGTGCCCAGAACCCGAGAGGGGCAGAAACGGGGACAGGGCGTCACGGCCCGACCACCCCATCCACAGGCACGTCCTCTGCCCCTTCCCTCCTCAAGCGAGTCCACGTGCTCTCCGGCAAATTAAAAACAAAATAAACAAGGCAAGGCTAGAGCCCGCAAAGCAGCTCTCGCCTGTGCTGCACTCCAAACGCCCCCATGGTCAGCGAAGACGTTTACCGATAATGTGTTTGTCACGGTGACAGAGTAAACCACCTACTTCTCTTATGCGAAATGTTGCTGACTGTCACACAGCTGTGGAATGATACCTGCTTTAGAGCGGACGCCTGGCTGACTTGCTGCCTGTTGTGTCCCAGTGCTGTACTGAGACTGCCAGGGTCTCATTTCATGGCACCTCTTCTCCGAGCGGGAGAGGGAGAGGCAGGGGGTGCTCAGGGTAGCTAACCCACTGTGTCCCCGACTACAAGAAGCAGAGTCGCCATTTCAGTCCAGGCCTGTCCGAGTCCAGCACCGAGCTCTTACACGGCTTCGGTGGGTTTTCAGCAGAGGGGCTCTAGCAGACTTGCCTGAGGAGTTTTTAAGAGGCCTTGCCCTGCAGGTGCCCTTCGCTCACTCACTTCCTTGGGTCAGGCCCGTGGGCCTTCCTCCCTAATCTGAGCGGGCTAACTTGTTCCCCTACGAAGTCCCCACACGAGGCGAGGGTGGCTGTGGAGTGCCTGGGCTCTCGGGGGGAGAGGCCCACGGGGAAACGCTGCACCTGAGACTTTCTGCCCTCCTAGTGGGATGGCTGAGACACCAGGTAAAGTTCCTGATGCTGCACGGGAGCGACCGGGAGTGAGGACGGGCTGCGCGAGAAGGCCACCCACTTTAAAGCTGCTGGGCATGACTGCGTATGTGACCGCCAGGAAGTCACGGTACACACCGTCATCTGGCATCGCAGGTCCCAGCAGAAGGGTCCTCACTGGCCCAGTGGGCGGCCCTCTGCTGGTCACCCTCGGCTGCTCTTACCCATCGTGCACTTCTCCAGGCCAGCGGTTCGCGTCCTGGGCTCGGTACTCGAGGCATCTGGTCAATCTTAGGACGAGGTGGGATGGTGTTAAATGACCTGGCAGGTGGAGGAACAGTCTTCTTCCTGCCTAAGAAGTGAGACTGGAGCCTCATCTCCCTCGCTCTCCTGGACCATTAGGAACCCTGCCTACAAAAGACTTCTGTGAAATGCAAAGTTGTATTCAAATGTAAATTATAACCTTTACCTTAAGCCGAAGAGCTTTTAAGTTTTTACTATGGAAAACATCAAACTATATAAAAGAATAACATAACAGACCCACCACCCAGCTTCAAAACTGATCATTTTATTTAGACCCTCATCTCCACCCCCTCACTGAGTTATTTTTAATCATGTCATCCATAAATATTTCATTATGTATCTCTAAAAGATGAAGAACCCTTAAACAACACGTAGCACAACGCTGTCATCACACCTCTTATCAATAATTCCTACATATCGAATATTCCACCAGGATTTGCATCTCTCCCTGTCCGGCTTTTTGTTTGTTCAAATTGGGACCCAGAGATAAACCCCAGTTGCTTCAATTAAGTCTCAGTCTCTTAATGTAGGCAGTTTACCTCCCTCTTTTTTACCCTTGTAATTATTGAAAGAGCCAGACATTAGTCTTGTGAATTTTTCTCCAGTGAAAATAATCCCGAATATATCCTCCTGATTTTAAAAATGTTTTTTTAGAACTTCTAAATTTACAGAAACATTGTGCACAGTGGAGAGAGCTCCCGTATACGCCTGCCATCCCTCCATGACTAACATCTCGCCTTGTGAGGCTCATGTCTGCCCATCATGTCATTGTCGCTCATCAAGTTCGCCCTCCACGTGTCTCCCCAGGGCTCAGCACACGGGCCTGCCTGGACCACACGGTCAGGGCGCCCCGCTAGGCACGCTGCCAGTGTGGACTCCAGGGAAACCCTGCCCCAGGTGTGAGTGGAGGTGGGGGGCGGGCAACTGCGTGGTTAGGTCCTGAGGCCTGAGTCCTCCAGGACCGGATCTGTGACCTTACACGGAGACCCCGAGAGCTCCTGCCCAAACCCACGCCTGCGCCCAGGGCCACGCCCACGCCCCAACTGTAGCCCACGCCCAGGGCCACGCCCAAACCCTAGCCCACTCTCAGGACCACGCCCACGCCCAAACCCTAGCCCACTCCCAGGGCCACGCCCACGCCCAAACCCTAGCCCACGCCCAGGGCCATGCCCACGCCCAAGCTCTAGCCCACGCCCAGGGCCATGCCCACGCCCAAACCGTAGCCCACGCCTAGGGCCACGCCCAAACCCTAGCCCACTCTCAGGACCACGCCCAGGCCCGGGGCCTTTCGGTTACGCAGGTAGCCGGCCGCGGCCTTGCACGGCCCTCCCTGATTGGCTGCGGCCTCGCCGCACGGCCTTTCC